AAGTTCTAGACACATAATTAACATGAATGGCCACACAAATGCAGCATATCAATGAAAAAAAAACATAGAAAACTAAACCAAGAGGGGCAAACTAATATTTATTTAATTTCTGGCACTTTATTGTTTGGCCTACCCTCAGTGAAAGTCTGTCAACCATTTAACCAGACATGTCAAGGCTTCACAGAACCCAAGAGTGGAGCTGTAGCTGCTCTTGTATTGAGTGCAAAGACAGCATCCCCAAGTACAAAGTGATCAAAGAGATGTCCATGGGCTTCTGGTTCCACAGAAGCTTCTAAATCTGAGTAAGAAAAGCTCGAGGCAGGAAGGGGAAAAAAAAATTAAGAAAAGAAGGGAGAGGCAGGACAGAAAGTGCAACTGTAAGAACAAGCAAGCTGCAAGTTAAACTGGGGGAGGGCAGGGTCTGCCCAATGTCAACAGAGTAATGTCAGAGTATAAAAGAAAATAGATTTCCTGACCCTTCCACAGGCAGCATTTAACTCTGGTCACCCCAGTGACACATTCTATATCCCTGTTTGTCCACCAGCTTTTGAGTCTTGTGGAGTGAATTTGACTGGCCCTTTAAGGCCTTTATTTTTTTTTTTTAAACAACAAACAAAACCTGAGAAAGCTGAGAAGAACTCCACAAGTAAGACAGAAATGTGCCACCTACTCTGTGAGTGCAAAGCTGGTGGAGAGGAATGGGCACATAGTAAAGTGTCCAGCTGAAAGGTCTCCAAAACCACCTTACATTTGGGGCATCAATTAGGGCTGGACTTTAGGTACATCTTTCCCAAGATCTTTTGCATTCTTGAGTTGAGAGAATCTCAGGAGACTGAGATTAGAAGCCAAAGAAAGCCAATGTGTTTTCAGAACTCACTCACAAGATCCCAGGCATCCCACTACATCTCCCTTGCAGTTAGCTTCATTAAAACTCCCCATCTGCCTATGATTTTGACTTTTTAGACACCCTTGAAAGGTATTTGCTATGGATAAAGCTTAAGGAAGGAATTTCACTGCTAAAATGGTAAACTATTTTGCAGACTGGAAGTCAATGGGCCTGGGAAAAGCAGAACAGATGTTAAAATCTTTGGAATAAGGAAGAGAAAAAAGCCAGGAAAGTGATGCTGAAGAAAAAATACAAAAGACAGAAGCACACAAAGCAAAACCTATGAGTACAACTTATGTATTTAGATTGGAAAGGCAGAACCAGACATTTGAGTTCTTGAGAACTGTATAGTCAAATCTGCTTTCTATTTCTTCTCATTTCCAGCTCTTATATGATATATCCTCCCTACCTGGACAGTTTGGAGTCAAATGTGCTTCTGTGTTTATACACAAGTACATTTTTCTCACCAGGAAGAGGCAATAGTGCACAACAGACTGTCTGCAGAGTGCTATTATATATATAAACATAGATATTACACACACATGTGTTAGTAAATCCCAAAATAAAAGTTTCTACACAGGAGCTGTAGCAGATAAATAACACCTTTCATTTCCTGGGATTTAGAAGGTAAAAAAAAAAAAAAAAAAAAGCATTGAACAAACATTTTGTTACTACCATAGCAAAATAATGCTAAGTGATATTAATTATTAGAAGTAAGAGCAACCACATCCTTATCAACTGGCCTTCAAGATAAAGAACATCTATCTGGGAAAAATGAGAAGCTTTAAAGCCAGGCTGCATTATATCATCTATTGTGATTGTAGTTTCACAAAGAAATAGTTTTTCACTAATTTTGGTGCAGAACCCAAGGATTTGATTGTTGTCACAACAGATGTTCCTGAGAGAAGCTTGCTAGTTTGTGGGAAATGTTTATACTTACACCTATACAACGCAACAAACATGAGATAACCAGAAATAAGAATTCTTGTCACTGAAACTGTTGAAAAAAGTACTTTTTTTAAAAGTGTGACTGACATTTCTTGCTATAAAAAATCTCTGTTAATCTAAATCGCTCCTGTGCTGCCTTCTGCAAGTAGTAAGCATTTCAGACTCTATGAGTCTCTTTCCCAAGTTATAAAACATATATTTGTTTAAGTTTTCATAACTTGTTATTCTTAATTTTAAAAACAGGCTTATTAATTCAGTTCCAATTTGAAAGATTAAGGCATAATGGTAGGATGTGAGAGTAAACAGGGAAATAATTAATTGTATATGGCACACATACAGAGATCCCACTGATTGTAAACCAATGTTTCAGTTTTAAATAAGCTGGTCATTTCATTTATTTGAAGTTATTAACATAATCCATTACTGTAAAACATGTCTTCCATTCTGTTTGTTTGAGTAGAATTTAGATTCCTTCCCTTCTGTTTTGGAGGAAGGAAAAAGAACTCACAAGCAGATAAATTTTTATGCAAAATAAATTTTTAGCACCTCAGCCACCACAACATTATGATAATTGTGTTCAGTTTATATCTTATAGAATTATAAGGCATAAACTGAACGTGATTATGCACGCATAAAGAACTGCTTTTGGGACACTCATTTTTATCAAGAGGTTTAAGCATCTGATTGTTTTCATGGATTTCCATTATTCCATTAGTTCACAGATTCACAAGGTTTTTTTGCAATTTAAATATTTTCCCGTGTTAAAAAATCACTCTAGCAATTTTGATGGGACCATTACCTTAAGAAGTTACTATGATACAAGAGAAATTCTGAAGGACTGTCCCCCCCCTGTTTTGCTACATATTCCAAAGGGTCTTTCTCCTTAGAATTAGATTGACACATGTAACTTGTTTTCTGTGATTTTTTGTGTGAAATCTACGTTCTGCCACATTTTATTTTTCTTTGCTGTTCCTTTTTCACTTGTTTCATATACAGATATAAATTTTAAAAAAAAGATGTACTTGGGACACTTTTTCTCCTGCTTTTGTTTGTTTGATTGTTTGGGGGGTTTTTTTAGCAGAACTAGAACAAAATTTTTACACATATAATATTATTAAATAATTTCTGAAAAAAAAAAAACAATCTTAATCATCAATGAATAGATGTCAACTCCTACCACATGGCATACTTGTAGAATCACTGAAATTATATAGGTTTTAAGTCCTATAGAGGTTACTGGAGAAAGCTAATAGACTGACAATACAGTTCTGTGTCGTGCTGTGTAAAGAACATATAACATAGGAGGAACCATCTCAGTGGCACCAAATAGGGTGGCCAAATATCAACAAAATTAAAAGTCAGCTACACATCTCAAGTGTGCTTTTTCACAAGTGTCCACAGGATTCCAAAGGAAGGCTAATAAATCTGCTCATGTACACGATAAGAACATGTAGAAGGAAGAGCAAAAAACTTACCATGATCCAGTGAAGAATTCCAAAACGAGGTTCAAACCAACCAAAACCAAAAGACAATTGTCTTTTAAAACTAAGGAACAAGGACTTGCTTCCACCAAAATTCATGGCAAGTTTCCATTATTTGGCAGGAATGACCTCTAATACTGTAGTTTAATATCTAATCTGTATTTTTTGGTTGTTTTTTTTTTTTCACAGTTCAATTTGGAATGTGGCAGCATGATATGAAAAAGGTGCTTTGTTTGCAAACCTGGAATGAAATATGGCATGGACTAGACCACAAAATAAAGAAGCCAGCGAAAGAGAATTTGACACTCACCATTCTGGCAAAACTCAAATTTCTCAAAACTAGAAGATTAAAAATACTTTGATGCTGTTTTTTTGAAATTAAAATCGAAAGGAAGAAAATGTAAGTGTTAAACTGTGCCAGATTACTGAGGTCTTTGGTTAATGATCATTACCTTCTTCAGTCATTTGAACCTAGTAATAAAGCCAGTACTTAAATATACTGCAGAATTAAAAAAAAAAAGTCTCACTGGCTAAGAAGCAGAAAAGCTATAAATCCTTTATACTAGCATGTTAAATCTCAGACTATCTGCGAGATTTAACAAATCCTTTATTTCTTCTTCTTTCTGACCTATTACTGAGTTAATTGGGAGTTCCCACTCCTTTTTCAGCACAGTACTTACACGTGTTCTCAACTTCACACTCCTGAGAAAACCCAAATCCTTATCTAGATTTGACCTCAGTTAAGGATAAGTTTATGACCCAACATGTTTTGTTGAGCTGGGAACTTGACTTCTACAGCTGGGAAGGAGTCCCTCTGACTTCTTTCGTTCTCATTGGTGCTAAATCTTCAGTTTTATCAGGCCACAGTTATGTGCCTTTAGCAAAACAGGGATAACAGTTATTTGAGAGCAAGAGCTATCCCTGTGTCAAGTCATGGCTCAAGAATAGTGCATGTGGAGAGGAAAATGGAAAGAAGCAGAGCACAAGACATATTACTACGGAATAGCAAGATTAGCATATTTTCAGTCGTTATTACCACAGACATAAACGGAGATTAAGAGGATCAAAATTAAGTTTGGAAAGCATAGCTGTGCTAAATTCTACCAGCTAGTAATGCTAGCAAATATTTATACTAATGATTAACTTTGTGCTACGGGAATTAATACTCTACATACAAAGTCTGAAATACAAGGCTGGGTTTGGAAATATCTGTTAATCAAATTAAGTACTATGGACATTAATGTTTTGCTCATCCTACTCGAGCAATATATCTTAGTCAGGACTTGGCAACTCAGTGATCATGAAGCCTTTGATCTGTTTCCTGACCTGTCAAATAGTATCAGCCAAAACAAAGTGGAAGAAAGATTGTTTTAATGCAGTGGATGTTCTTTCAAGACAAACTGAGAGGATGTCATCATGTCCATTTCTGAAGACTTTTCTTTTGGTTTCCATTTATCAAAGAGAGAGCAAATTCAATGACCTAAAGTCAGAAGGATCTACCACATATCAACAGTTCCTTGGCTCAGCTAACATGCTGTAGTTTATTTATTCCCTAATTGTGTCCTAAAAACGAGTCAGTGCTGGTAACAACAAAATACTCTCTCCTCTTAATCAGTGATGTAATTTTCAAAGTGGAAGGTAGCAGACACTAGCAACTCACTACAAAGTAAAAATAAAACCTTTACCCTAATAAAGAGGATCTTCTCTCCAACTCTGTATCTTCCCTGTGAAAGACGCTCCACGCAGAACTTATTAGGGCATTTACAAGGTGGATCCTCAGAAATGTGTTTAACCTGGGAAACACAGAAGTTATTAACAGAAACTATTTAAAACAGCACACGTAGTAAAATATTAATTAAGACATTTGTCATATCTATAACATAAGTCTTAATTGATGATATTTTTCTTAGTTTTTCTTAATTTTCTTAATATTTCTGTAATCCTAGAAAGCACCCTATGGTGCTTCCAATATCAACAATTATTTAATAGCTGTGATGAGTTAAAAATGGAGATGAACATCACACAGTTCAACATTAAATCTGTTCTGTTTAACTGAAGCCAAACACTTCCTTACGTCGAGTTCAGGACCAAACTCTTGTAGACGTGTTCTCAGTATTTTATGATGAATCAGCTCAAAGTGCTGGCAAGGCTAACAGGCAAAAGGAAGATGTCATAAAGATGCATTCTCTCTTCTAAATATTTATAATAAATACAGAGGCGTCTTCCTCATCCATAAGAGGCCCTGCCTCTTTCAAATTTTGCACTAACACCTTAAAAAAAATATACAGAAACTACCGTAACATAATCATAAATTCAGGCCAAGACACTCCCCAGAATTTCCAACTACCCTTTGATGATGTCCCCATTAAGGGCACAGTGCAATCAAGGGTAATTTAAAGGGGCTTCTAGTCCATTGTCAAACCTACCTACCTACCCACCCTCCGAAACAAGGGCTGAGAAAAGACAGATGAAAACCACTTTCCTGCTTTTTAATAACTGCATCAGCTTGACTCTGGCCTCCTTGGTCTTGCATGTGCTACCAAAGGCACTGATGTTTACTAAAAGTATATTTTTGTGCTCTTCAGTGATGGGAAAGTAGCAGAGGCATCCATGCCAAAAGAAGAGATCTGGCTGAGAAACCCTTACTTGACATTCAAGCTGCAGGGCTGCACAGGACAGCAAGAACAAGGGCAGCACTTCCACATCCTGCACTTTCCTGGATGGATGCTGACCTAGTACACCCGTGTCAACCAGTGCAAAATGCCACAGCAACCTGTAGATGTTGTTTTCCACTTCAAAAAAGTATTCCAAAGACAGGCCTTGTAAATCAAGGCCTGTAAAAACAGCCTGAGGTCCAGGGAAGGATATTGTCAGAACAGCTGAAAAATGAAAGTCTTACATTGTTTCATAACAAGAAAAAATATCTGGGCAAAGCCATGGCACTCTGGTAGGTGTTTTGATTACTGTGAATAGATGAACATGAAAGGGTTCTGAACTACAAATGTTTTTCAGACTTGCTTTAAGAATTAAGTTATAGTATGTTAAATAAGCTAGAAAAAAACATAAAAGGTAGGCAACTATTGTTTCTGTGCTATTGAAATCAGCCCTATTGAGTGATTTAAAGGCTTTCCAATTATTTCTGAAATTATTCAGTGCTGTTATCTGAATAACTTTATTCTTTTGTGGAGGTTTTTCTTATTCTTAATGCTTTTGTTTTGTTTTGCTTTTTAAATCAGGGCATAATATTTTTGAGAAAAAGAAAATAAATTAAAATAACACTTAGCAGAGGAACTCTACATGTATTTTAAACACACAAAAAAAAAGTGTTTCTTGGGTATCAGATGAGTTGTCCTCTGTTTGAATGAATCACAATTTGAATTTTAAAATTAGTTATTTAAGTGATCTTATCAACATGGGTGAGAGTTCACCAGTTCTGGTGAATCAAACTACTTAGACAGCCAATGTACAACAGGAACAACTTGCATGAAGTCGGTGGTTGAGGATTTAAATCCAAGTGCAGGTTGCTGAGGATGAAGAAGGTGTATTGCTGTGTTTCTTGGAATGCAGTACTAAGGCTGGATTGTGCTGAGGGACCTATTTGGCAATGGGCCTCTGAATACTGTTCAATTATCAGGGATTTCTGCCCCAACACCACGTGGCATTTATCACCTCTGGAGACACTTGAAATTCAAAGCTGAAAATAGATAGTATGAACCACGCCTTAATGCTGCACCTATCAGAGTTCATCTAAGCAAGCAAAAACCTGGAGTAGCTGAGCCCAGCAGGCTCAAGGCTGTTTTGAACTGTGTAAGCAAAGTAGAGCCTTCTTCAGCCTCTGGAGAATGAAAGCGAAGAGATTTATACCAGTGTGAAACAGAGAATAATAAGACCTTCACTGCTGATCCTGCTGTTGGGGCTTCCATTGCCTTACTATCCCAAAGGACAAAGTATTATTAAGTGGAATTTGGAAATCAAATAAGGAAGCAGGGGGAAGAATTATATTCTATTTTATTTTGTGTCTGGACTATACGAGCACTGCTGCTATTTTATGGTGTGAGTGTCTGGGGCAGTGTGGGTCAGGAATCTAGCTGGATGAATTCCATTCTGTTTCTATCCCTACTGCTTTCTAAATTAAAGGAGGTGGTTAGAGACAACCTTCATACTCTCTGCTCTGTTTCTACAAGATATGCAGTCACCATGCTCCTTCTACACAGAACTGTTCTTTCTCAATTCTGTTGAAACATGAGTGCTTTCGCAAAGTTAAGGAAGAAATACAAACCAAAAAATTTTAAATGTAATTATATGCATCAAAGAAAAAAAAAAAAAGAGTGTTTCAATAAAATGAACGAACATTATATTCCATCTGCTCTTTGTAACAGGAAAGTGGCACATGGATTTTTCAAGAAGTGCTTTGTAACTCCCAGGTGGCACATCTACCTCACAATGTAGCAGTTACTATGGTAACTGCTTCTTTTTACAGGCTAGATTTGTACTTTTCAAGTTTAACCTCTTCATGGTCTCAAAATGTGTCCTTTTCATCTGAATCCAGCTGTTTCAAACGAACCCCTATGGGTTTGCAGCAGAGAAATGAACACTCAGTATGCTGCAATGAGTTTAATGAAATTTAAAACAAGATGCTTTTGTTCTAACAACGAGGAAAACAATGCTTGGATTTTTTACTATGTGAGAAACATGCAGAACAGCAGCATAAAAATTAGGCTGAAACATCTTAGAAGTGTTTGTTAACATTCAGTACAAGTCGGTAGGAGCCAGATCTCCCAGTCCTGACTCAGTCCTTCCTCAGACAAAGCACCAAAGTGGGAGTTGATGAATAAGAAGTAAAGGAGCAATAAGAAGGGAACGTGGCCCCCAAGCACAGAGCTAGGCTAAGCTGCAGAGCTGCTACACAGTGTGAGGAGCTGGTTTTTTTTTCAAGCTTCCGACATAAATAATTGTGGTAAACAACAAATTAACCCTGTCAGCCTGCAGACGTTCAAAATACAGTGGAATGTTAAACTCAGGTTTGTGTGTGCTTTGCAAGGAAGTGCATATCAGAACAGACCAGACAGAAAGAAGCTTCCCCCCACAACTTACAGCATCATCCAAGAGTTTCCCTGTGCTCTTTTTCCCAGGAGACTTTGTTGGTGACGGTGAAGGAGATGGAAGGGGAGCTGAAAATGTTTCCTCTTGCTCAATTTCTTTTTCTAACTTTATTAATCCAGGAGGCTCCACCCCAAACCTTTTGGAAACATGCAAATAATATATTACTAGTTAGCATAAAGTACTGCATATTTCAAAACAAAATAGTGGAAAGGATTTCTACTTTCTGTATTGCATTATCATGCAATAACAGAATGGTACATTCATTTATAAACATGTATAAAATATATCAATCACTACTGCTGTTGTTTCAAATGAATTCAGATGGAGTCTCTCAGTTAAATTTACAGGAAATACAGGGGGTTTTCAACTTCTGTGTCTGATCACATATATGTTGGTGAATAACTAATTTATGAACAACACTAGACCTCAGATTTGCTATACCATACAGGACAGAGTCAAGCTCAGCACATTTGCCTCCTTTTTTTTTTTCATTTTTTCTTTTCTTTCCAAACAACATCCTTTCAAATTACTTGACAACTTATATTTTGTGTTAGTATTTTTCGAAGAAATTCAGATGAAAAGGGATTAAGGCTCATCCTGGTCTCAGCTATTGCACTAAATTTATGCATAAATAGAGATGTGGCCACTATTTTTCAAAATTGGCAATTGCTTTTTCTACCTGATTTTTGACAACCAATGTTCAGATCTCAGTTTACAGCAGCCACAGACTTTAAGATCCAGCTAAAACCAAATACGTGCAACTTCAGCACGGAGCAACTCAGAGCCCTTGGAGAGCAAGGCTCTTTTTGAAAGAGCTTTTGAAAGCTTTATGGCAAGTGATTGAGTCAGTCTCACAGCAAGCAGCAGAGCTTTTACACCTCAGAAGTTTGAAAGTCCATCCCATTTTCCTAATCACTGAAAATTCCCTTTTATTTTATTTTATTTGCCAACGCTGAACAAAACCCAGAAAAATGGAGAGAGTTCTTTTTTCAGAGAAGGATTTTAGCTTGGAAAAGTTATCATGCCAGGTAGACTTCTCATGGCAAACTACTTGAATAAATGAAACCATACTTTCTTCTGTAGCAGAAATGTCCATAGCCCAGATGCAGAACTACACTGACTTATCTAGGTAAAGATCTGGACACTAAAATATTGGGCAGTAACAAATATGTATCATGAAAATCTAAGCTAAATACCATAATAATGTTAGAAGTGTACAGAGAAAAGGCACAAGCACATATACCAGCTTTCGTGGTTTTCTGATAACATTTAATTTAGTCACACTGCTTAGTAAATTAATATAAAGGAAACTAAGAACCAAATCTGTGCTTGTATTGGCCTCTAACTGGTGCAGTCTCCCTAATGAAAAGTCAGCCAACACTGAGGCAAGCACTTATATACAATCCATTGACTTCCTGTCTGTCTGCAGATGCTGACAGGCTGTAAATCATTAAATTCCTACTGGGCTCTAAGCCTGCTCCTGCATACAGCCTTACTCATCAAATAAAACTCTTTCACTCCAAGCAATGCTGCTTCTTTGCTTCTACTGCTTTCCATAAATTCCACTTTCTGTCTTTGGGACAGATTTTTAAAGCTCCCTGTGCTTCCAGTACTCTGAATTCCTCTGGTGAAAAGCTGGAAAATAAAATCGGTTAATAAACACGCAGGCATTTTTTTTCCACATACTGAATCAACCTGAAGCAAAGTTGCTGGAAAGCTCAAAGTGTAAAACCCACATCTCTTCTGTGAGGGGTAGAGGTGCAAATTCTGCTTGGGAAGGTATGCTGAGAATTTCCTTTTGTGCTCCTTTCCAGCCTGGCCTCTCACAACTACAAATGAAGCAGCACTGGACTGTAACACGATCTCCTCTAGACTTCTTAGAGCACCACTTTCCATTTTTAGTAAGGTAAAATTGAATACAATAGCAGAAAGATCTTGAAATTGCTCAACAGTAATTCCAAAATACCTGTGGGGGTTGTTTAACCGCCCGGAGTTTAACAGTTACCCAAGAACTTCATTTTTTATGCAGAAAAGATAATTTAGCTGTTTTCCATTGTACAGTCTCTGACTTTCAAATACTTTGGGAGAATGCTGGACCTGTGCAACCCACTGTGCAACAGTCCTGTGTATTGTCAATTTTATCCTGTAGGACACTTCCCTCTCTCATAAATCTTCTCACTGTATCCACATGACATCTGCCAGTGCACACCAGGGCCCATTTTAGCTATTGAAATTTTGCAGATGAGCTCAGAGTTTTGTTTTCATAAACAACTGAAATCCAGGATAATTTATCAGGCAATTCTATTTTTACTAGTATCTGGGTTTTGAACTGCCACTCTTTGAGCCAAGTGGTCACACCAGTTTCCCACTCACTGTGCAGTCCATCCATCAAGTCCATCTGTCTCTAATTTGGCTAAAAGGACACTAAGAGATAACAGGCTAAAAGCATTGCTAAAGCAAAGGTAAATTAGCACCTTTCTCCCTTCCTCCACAGAGTATCTGTTGAATAGGTTCAAGTTTAGCAGAACAGAGCTCCATTCTATCTCCTCCTCAAACAATCCTCATTCTTGCTCATTTGTGCCTCAATTATAAGCCTATTTGCATTAAATAGAAAGGCTTAGGTCGATTTATGGGAGTTACAGACCCTGAAGACTAAGAGTTATCTAGCTGAGCAAAGTGTGCCAAAAGCTGAATCCTTGTGAGGAGTAAGCCACTTTCTGCTTCCAAAACAAAAAAGGAAGAGAAAAGTAAAAAGTTCTTCAGTGTCTCTTACTCTTTTCGTTCTTTAAAAACAGACCGAGGCACCTTTTCAAAGGTCTCTGCAGCTCCTGTTGTCGGAAGCAGACCCCGGGAGTGCGAACAGACGCAATTTGCTTTACAAAGCACGCAGACATTTGACTTCTCTCCTCCTTAAAGCAGCACGACAATGTCAGTTTAATGTCCGCTTTCCTACACTTAGTGGGGGCAAGCATCAATTATTCTCCTTTCCCATACAGTTCTAATTTACCTCAGCTCAGGCAAAATCGGGATCCCATATTTGGCTTTCAATTATGTTTAACCTGACGTTCCACTTCAACAGTTTTTTTGTGCACCTTTGAAATGGGCAAGATTATAAACGGGTGTTTGTTTGTTCCTGAAGAGATACTAGAGCAGGAACAAGTAGACAGACACCTGTTATTTGACCCCTAACCTATAAACAAAATTAAAACATAGAAACATAAATGCAGAAACACAAACACAACATATAAAATACATTCATGATATATGATAATATAAATATAAAATAAAATACAAATATTTTAAAGGCGAAGGGGTAGAAATGCACAATAAATGAAAACATGGTTTATTTATTTGTTCAGTGTTTCTTTTCATGTTTGGAACAGAAAACATCCGGAACATGGAAGTTTAAGATGAACATAAAAGGGTAAGATTCAATTTTCATTCCCTCGTAGATCTGTTGAGAAATCAGGTCTCAGTGCAAAATGAGATTAAATCTAACTCAACCCACTTCAGCAGAATCCAGCCCTGCCACTGACATACATTCCCTGAGGAAGGTGGATACTATCAAGGAATCTACCTGGGGCAGACATTCCTGACAGCTGGGTGCTGGTGGCTCTCTCTCCAAGCTGGGTCTTGAAAGCACAGTTTTTTGCTCAGGTAAATTAAGATTCTTTACACTCCATTTCATTATGCACCTACTTTCTTATTCATGGGAAGGTAAAATGATTTTTTTTTTCCATGTTGGACTGAATCCAAGTTTCACAGAGATAACAAAATTCCGGAAAACCGGAAATCAGCCCTCTTTCTGGTCATTGCTATTCCTATGCAAGCTGACAGCAAGGGTTTTTCTGAAACTTGACCAAGGAACAAATGCCTAATTAAGCAGTTTCCCATGTGAGTTCATTCCCAAAATATGAATACACATAACACAACTATGACACGACCAATATTAATTCTTAAGCTAGGAATAAACAGGGGTCTCCTCCACACTGATTGTCACCACAAGGAATTCTTCTGAAATTAATGAAACTATCTCAATAGTGAGACACTCCAGTTGGATACACATGGATGAGCACAACTGCAATTTACATGCAAGACCGGGCAGCAGCACTGCTGTTCATGTATTTTTTAGCAAATTTTATGCACTATGTTGGTTAAATCTGCATCTGCAAAAAGGGAAAATCACGTTCTAGTTACGGTTGTTTGGACTGTCTATCAAAAGTCACTGTTGCCTTGACATCAAAGATAACATTACACAGGTCCAGCATGGCTACAAACATTTAGGTCAGATTTAGGTCATGTGAAGATCAATTTATTACCAGTAAAGTTAATTAAATCGCAGTTGTTTATAGAGAGATCTGACTGTTAAAAGGAGAAACAGCTCAAAGCTTTATTTAGAAAAAAAAAATTCAATTCTTTCCTCTCCTAATGCAAGGATAGTCAAAAAATACCTTCATTGAACTGATGGTACAGAGATTTCATTATATTTGTTAACAATGGCCCTCGAGATATTCTTGAGTGGCATCAAGACAACCACTCTCCTTGAACCTAATGAGCACAGAAGTTAACTTGAGATGTGCTGATTTATCAAGTCTCTCAATAGCCACTGCTGTCAAGAATGCAAATATTTCACCATGCTTTAAATATTTTCACCTACCTTGCTGCAATCCTTCCAAGCTCCAGCAAACAAAGACACACCTCCCTTGGCTGCTTGTGGAGTACTGGGAAAGGAGAATGAAGATGGAAAACACTGATAAATAAAAGCTATTTTAAAGGTCTAAGTGATGGAATGGAACCTAATCATCAACATCTGTAACTCTTGACTCTGATAAGACTTAGTTTTCTTTGGCTTGCAGTGGAGTTTTACTGGAATAAAAAGGATGGGATTGAGTGGTTCTCAGAGTGAAGAAAGTTTAGGAAGTTTCATTTAGTTATCTAAATCACTGAGCAATTATTTGGGCTAATTGGTAATCTGCAAGCAATTCGTAACTATTTAAAAATAATCAAGAACTCTGGCAGAACACTTAAATTAGTCAAATGTTAAAAATAACATTAGAGGGATACTTTTATTTCTATAAAATAAGAGAATTCATGTCCTTAAGATCACTATTTTTCTTAGCCGATTTAAATCACAAAACCAACAAAATTGCATTAGCAAAGATATGTCTTTCTATAAATTCAGTCCTGAATTTTTTATACATCTCCTCTTAAAGCAAACATGGAGCTAGAATGCTTTAGGAATTCAGTTCATCACAGTCAGAAATCCTGAACAAACTTCTTTACATGCACATACATATATGCAAGTTTTCACACCTAGATTCTACATAGAACATGTAGTTTTTAAGCCTCAGAAGCAGCTCAGACACAGCAGGAACTCTCACCTGGGCTGTCCCACCTAAACCTGACATATATTAACCCCTGGAACTCTTTGTTTCATGGGCTTTCCTACAGATCAAGACTGCAACCATCACTTCAACCAACAGACATTTAAATTGCAACAATCATGTCTGGCCACTGGATCCATAAGTGGTGATATTTTTCCTCTCCACTATCTACTCTTATCCTTTCCTTCTCTTTCTTTCTTTTTCTTACATATTTTCTAAAGTGATATCTTTATACTTTTATGCTGTTGCATTTCCACAGATAATAACCAAAATGGCTACATATCTCCTTTCTACTGCAAATTGTTCTGAAATAAACCTGCCATATATGAAATAATCTATTAACAAGAACCTCAGTTAACCTCACCTTCAGGGGTGGGTCATAACAATTAGGAAATGCCAACATAAACCAATATAACTTTTTTCCCCCAATGACTCCAATAGGTAATGTTCTGTAAAGGAGTTCAGCTAAGCATATAAGCAAAATCCAAAATCAGCAAATGAAGAAAGGTCTGTGGCTGTTTGGATAATGAACTCCTCAAAACTCTAAAAAGAAGAGAGTAAAAATAGAAGAAAAAAAAAAGAAAAAAGTCATTTATGTGTACATCATCATCTATACTTCAGAAATACCTACTGCAATAAAGCCCTAATCTTGTGGATAAAAATCAGGTTTTAAAAACTTCAGCAATAATCAAAAGATTTGCACCTTGCCCTTCAGATTGAATTGACACCAAAAAGTAATTGTGTATTTGTATAAATCAGAAAAAAAACCCACCAGCATCAAAATTGATTTGTTTCTAATGAGTAAAGGTCAACACATCAGCTGTATAAATGTTTGGTAATCTAAAGACTCACCTAACTCAAATGCATGAAGCAAAAATACCATACCTGAAAAAGATATTTCAATGTCTAGTTAAAGCTCTGAAAGTAATTACTTTGTTCTACATATGAGACCCAAAATAGGAATCCACAGACTTAAACATCTCTAGATAACCAACACTCTGGGGCAGACTCTCAACCTCTGCAACTTCAACTTCCAGCTCCACTGATGTGAATAAATGTATGATAAGTGGTGTGAGTTGAATGCTCATCCCAATATATTTTCCTAGTGTCTGTGTAGCCCTTTCAGGTGTATGCATTCTTCCTCTTTGATCTCATCCAAATATATTCTAGAAGTGAAAGTGCAGAGCATGAGAACTGGAATTGTATTGCACTAGGAAAAATATTTTTATCCTTCAGCCATCTGTTACTAAAAATGTAAATAATGTAATCTTGGACATTCAGCTGTTCTCAATATTCTTCCTTGCCACAACACAGCAATTCCATTAAACATTTACCTTTACCAGTAATCAGTATTTTTAAAGTGTTACATTCGTGGCCCAAGAAATGTATTCTGCTGCTTTGGTTTTAAACCAGTTGGGACTGCCCCAAAATAAAACTCGATTTTAAGAAATAAGGCATTCCCCGAAATATAAATGGTAGAAACTGGGTTTGGGAGAGTCAAAGAAACTCAATTGTAATTCATACATATGTACATCTGATTAACTTTGGAATGGAGGAGAAAAAGAGAGGTTCAATGACTGTTCTTTGCAAAAAGATCCATAAATACAACCAGAAGAGAATTTGATTAAAACAGGTAAAACATTTTTCCATCAATGCTCTTCCCAAACAAAATTCAAGTCCTTCAGCAAATCTGACTCAACACAATCTAGACACATTTCATGCATTTCACACTGAACAATGTGACAAGGTGAAATCGTTGTCAGAAGATGAAGAGCTGTGCAGGCCATCACCAACCACAAAAACAAACATCTGCTCATCTGATAAGACGACGGTGACACAGTGCTTCTGACAAGAAAATGTTAGCATTCCTGAGGACTATACAGCATATGCATTTGGGGACTTCAGAGACAAATTAATGTTGTTTTCTGTACTGCTCTACCCACTGGATGACATGGGAAGTTGATAGATGTATCATAACAAGCAAACCATACTCCACTTTGCATCACAAATACAATTTTTATATGCATTTTCCTATAATTTTTCAAGCTTTCGTGTAGGGAAGAAAACAAAATTCCTGGAGAATCATTGTTCAGTCCTCCCCTATCAAATATTAACAAGGTGAATTGTCCCAGTGGGTGATTATAAGCAAGTAGCAATTTGTAAATACAAGAGACTCATGCCCTATGCATGCATAAGATGAAAGGAAATATCCATCTTGCTTGAGAATCTCACTGATGACACTTGTTTGACAAGAATGCCATGGGAAGGTTTAAAAATAGTGCATGCAAGTCCAGCTTATTTTAGGTGTCCTGGCAGTTACAGACCCTTTTGCTTTCCATCTCATCTCTTCAAATGCTTCTTACCTGCTGTCCTCATTGCCTGCATCTTTTCAAGCTACCTCCTGCCACTCTTTTTTAACAATAATTCCTTTTGAGCTCCTAGCAAGCTTTCATCCCTGCTCCTCTCTGGCAATAAGTTTTCTTCACACTACCTCCATCTTGTTGCTGCCCTGTTCTCCTTTTACAGCCTTTCCTCTTCTGTTCACTCACCCTGTGTGTTCCTTCCATGTACTTCCATTTCTACTGCCTGCTGTTCACCACATCTCTGCATCCTTCACCGCCCCCTTCCACAGGGCTCCCTTCCCAAGTGCCTGGATGCCACCAGGAGAAGCAGAGAGAGCAGAGGAGGAGCAGCCTCTGCTTTCAGCATTCTTTAGCTCTCTAGAAGCAAAGAGTTTTCCAGAGTGGCTTAGTATTTATTATTATAGGCTTCTGATTGCCATCAGAATTCACCCAAACTTAGTGAAAGTTTTCCAAAAGATTGGTCCTTTGATCCTCTTTCTATTGTCTCTCACCTTCTCCTTTAAAACTTTTTATTCTGATCCTACAGCAGTCTTCTTTGTTTGTTTTTTTTTTAACTTTGCTTTGTTCAAAACACTCTGTCCAACCTACCCCAAACATATCCTTTCTTCTGAATCAGAGTTATGCTATGACACACTTGTGTCTCCCCCTCATCCCCTTTCAGCACAATCACTTATGGAAGTCTAAAAGCAATTAAGGTGTCAAACACAGGAGATCTAAAGATAGTAAGGAATTCATCTATAAGGAATATAGAGATCATCTAAACACTAATAATTTACTGGACTTCAGTAATTTAAGATGTAAATCCAATGGTAACAACACAGTGTCCAGGATGCTTCTATAGTCCTCAAAACGAGACATATTCAATAATATTATGAGTGGTTTAGTAAAGTGTTGTGAAAGATGGGACAAAACCTTATTCTGATGCAACTTCATGTGAATTTTTACATGCTGTTACAATATCTAAATGTGTCAGTGTAGAACAACAGTCAAAACAATTCCATTTTGTAGGAAATCGGATAAACTAGAGTAGTAATTACTTAAAAAAAAACAACTTTAAACCAGCAACATTAGAAGAGAGATCAGAGGCGTTTATGTCTATTATTTCCACTAAAACACTGGAAGCTTTTGTTTAGGGAACCTGCCCATTAAATTCTAGTTGCATCAAAAGAAGTCCGTGTCACGTATTGTGTGTACACACTCATACATAGTTACAGAATATACGAGCACAAAACATTAACACACCAACAGCATCCAACAACTCCCCAAACAAATGACACACATCAGCATGCTGGCACACTTGGTGGCAAACCCTTTTCTTGCCGGGTAGACTTTATCATGGAAGAGATGCAGAATAGCCACTGGTTCCAACTCCTATAATCATCCAACAACACTCCATTACCACAAAGAGTTCAGAACTTATGCTTTGAGTTCACTTAACTAAAGCAATCATAGAAAAATCTTACCATTCTTACTATGTGTCCAAGCAGTTTTCTTCGAGCATTACACTCTTCAGGCTTGAGCACAACCATTACAAATATCTCCACCTAGAATGCTTTCATAAATAAAATTACCATAGCTGTGTGGGTCTGCTGCCCTAAAACCTATACAGGGAAACTTACAAAGTATACTTACAATGGGAACAGAGGAGTTACAGGCAGTATTACAAAGAGTTAGTGCATCCTGTTCAGAGTCCTACATATGGGACAAATTTTGACCTCTGTTACATTAAGAACCCCATTCAGTGACACTGTATCTCAAGAGTTGCCCAGATGATCAAAGTTTGGACTTTGGATCATAGTTTTTGGTATTAACAAAGCTAATTCCTTCTTCTTTAAATACACTAACTATAAAAATTAAAAAAAAAAATGATAAGCATGCTAAATTGGTCAGTGAGTACAGGGAGCACGCAGAGACTCCCTCTATTTTGCAGGATTCAGGATTATCCCTTCATAACCTGTTGCTGTGAATTTTACAGATGTTTATGTCTTTTCTGCAGCTCATACAACAGGTACACAGCACCCACCTTTTCTTTGCAAAGGCATTAACTCAGAGACTTTCCTGCTATGCCTTAACAGAAAACTATATTTCCAATTTTTTTGCACTTTAACCTATGTTAAAGCATGATAACATTCAGCAAGAAAAAATACATAGATTATAGACTACTAACAAGTTAGTAGTGCAAGTGCATTGTCTTCAAACTTTTGAGCTCAGCAATGTTCTCTTTCAATGATCTTTGAAGTAAGTACTGATTAGAAGACCTAATCATATCTGCCAGCATAGCAAGCACCCATTTTTCATTCTATTTATTTTTCCTTCTATTTATTTTGAAGAAAGACTTCAATCCTGTTTTCTTATTTAGCTCAGCTAAATAGCCCAAATCCAACAAAGCATTTGAACCCACTGCTTAATTTGAAATAAGTGCCTAAGTTTAAATTAGTCCACAAGTGAAGTGACATGAGTAGGTCTCCTCACCTGCTTGTCTGGAGCAGCCCTAGAACACCAACCCTTTGCAGAAGAAATCCTCTAGGAATACTTGAGCTTCCCACCCACATCACTCATGTGCACGTTTGTCAGGCATGGACTGCCCCTATCTGCTGCAGTGGCTGCTTGACACAGTTCCATTCCAGTGGGGAACTTGTCACTTGTCACCTCCTTGTCACTTCAACCTCAGGGCTAAAAGGATGGGAGTGTTGGATGCATTTGTGTGCACGATTTCAAACACTTCAGAACTCATCTTGATGAGAAGGTATTTTTAATTAATAATTTCTTAGCTAATATAGATCCCATTTTGCTGATCTCTAATAAACTTGGCACTTCTTTTTTTTTTTAATAAATCAGTAGTGTCACAAATCCATCATTCAAATATTTCAGTGCACTGAATCTTCAAAATCGCTCTTACACTGTTAGAATACCTATTTGCCAGAAAAAGACTCCAGGAATGTTTTATATTATAAAGTGGCATGAAGAAAATATCACTATGTGCATCTAATTAAATAATACAGTATTTACATACCTTAAGACAGAGAGAATAGAGTAAGAAACGAGGATAAAAATCTACTCAGTTGATAACATTGACAATAAGTAAGGCTCTCCAATGTAGGCAGAAAACAGTTGCTTTATCACTAGCAATTTACACATCAATTTACAGCTTAATAGCTACAGGGAAAAACAGAAGAAAACATGAAAAATTTACCTCTGTAACCGTAGTTTTGCCACAATTTTTATTATTATAAATGCAGAATTCAATGAGGCAGTGCAAACACTTGGGTGTCATTCCCACGTTTCTCACTGCTTTGAAAAGAACCCTTGATATTACTTACCTTTGCTGAATTTTTATTTCCTATGCAGTGGTGAAGGGATTTGTGGGAGAGAGAGGAACACAGAAGCTTTAGACTGGCAACTGGTATGATTTATCATTCTTCCTAATGCATTAGAAAAACCTCAAATGAAATTCAAACTCTGAGTTAGAGCTCAAACTGAGGGAGAACAGCAGCTACTGGTTTTATCTATCTTCTTTATTTTTTAAAATGGTGTGGTCACTGTCTCCTTCTGAAGTCCATAAAAATGGGTCAAAATATTATCAAGTCCTAATCCTATTTCCCACACCATAAATCTTTTCTGCTAGTGCATTCTACAAGAAGCGAAGGAAAACGGATGTTAGTTTTCAGTCAATGAAGAAAATCAGTCACTAATCAAACAGAGCTAACAGAGCACAGGTTGAGCACTATGTGTTCAGGCACATTTCACTTCAGTTTTCTGGGAGAAGAAGTCCTCTTGAACACCAGCTTTCCAGGTGTATTTGCACTGTGTTGTGCCGTGGCAGGCAAGGCATTCGCTGTGTACGTGGAAAAATTAACATTAATATTCCAGCTATGCCAATTCCATCTCGAAACAAGATCTAGCTTCTTAGCAGTGCACAAGAAAATTCCTTTAAATGTGCTCTCAACTGACTTATTACTTGAACAATGGCAAATTGCTGGGCTTACCATAGCAGTACAAACTCTAAATACATTTAGTATTCTGTTAACCACAGGTTCTTCTGCCTGCCTCAGGCATTGGAGGTCTGTGTCTCCTCCTGGTGTTTACAAGTTTCTTCATACTAGACAATGACCAACTTCTCCACCACTTCAAATCATGGAAACTACAATTACTGTTCGTCTTCCACATGATTTTACCATATCAAATAAAAAGTTCATCTTGAGGAATCAAATAACAAAACCAAGTCAATACATATATCCTCCTTACTATTTGTCACCTCTGTGATACCACTCACTTCTGTGCCAATCATTTTCTCCCAGGCTTAAAAAATAATGTCATTAAAAAACCTCACAGGATAGAAGAACAGACAAAAGGGGAAAAAAGATTGCCTCAGAAATATTTAATAGACTATAAAAGTAGAGCAAGAGTGTAAAAGAATGGGAACAGATCAGTTGCAACACATATAAGACCTTCAACAAGGCAGACTTTTTGAGCAACAGAACAAAGAAACTTCTTGATTCAGCACAGTGTGTTCATTTGTCTTCCACAGAAACCGATCTGTCTGTCACCACAACTGCTTTACACTTTTATCTGAGTTCAAACTACAAACGTTTGACTCCCTTCATTTCATGAGATTTGGCTCAAAAACCCTTGAGGCAAGATTCCTAAGTTTTCCTTTGAAGAGAGAAGAGTTAAACCAATGAAGAATATGCAGTATTAGAACAGTGATCTCCTAAGCAGTCCGATTCTTCTGATGGAACACCCTGAAGCACGAGTGTTGGGTAAGTTTTCTCCAGAGCTGCACAAGGGAACCAGCTGGAAAAAACGGGCAGCACAGGAAAGAAAAATTTTTTTATCTTCTTGCCTCCTGTGCAACTCGTTAAATCTGCACAAATAGCCAAATTTCTGCAGCCAGAACTGAGCATGCACTTGTGTCCTCCTCTCCCAAAGCAGGAAAACACCACCTTATACATTGAACTAAGGAGCAGCCTTCATGCTTGAAAAAAAAAGTATGTGTAGAGTGAAAAATTACCTGCATGCAAGAAATCACAGTAAGATTCTTCTCTCATTTAAGTTCCTCTTAAAATAGACTTAAATGAATTTTATGTGATGTGTACTTTATTTGTTCATTCCACAGATAAGAGGTAGAATTAACACAGACAGAGGTCAGATTTGGAGTCAAGATCTATTAAGAGCCATTCTGTCTTTCAAGGTAAAACATAAAAAAACCATTATTTTAACTTACTACTACCTAAAGAAATACATACCCAAACCTTCTGATTCAAACAGGCAGGTATCATCCACGCCTACATCTCTGCACCAGGATAAGAAATTTGCTGTGTTGTCCCGTGCAAAAAAAGACCCTGAAGGAGCATTGGCTTTGCATGGAATCTTCCGAACTGGTAAAGTCTGAAAAACAGAAAATTCTCTATTTAGATGAATTGTATTTAGATAAATTTTGCGTAGATGGGGGACTCTCACCACTGTATTGCCTTGGCCATTAAAGAATTCCAAGCAAAGCAGTGTGAGAAGGGAATTTAACAGCACCAAGTTCTCAACCACAAGATCTTTCCAAAAAGCATCATTATAGTCCACGCAACGTGAAGCTGAGAGCTGAACCAACATGAGTTACTTCTTAGGAATATTAGCAACTACAGTCTTGGGATTTACTGTTTGGTCCAGTTCAATGAATTTAAAAAAAAAAAAAAAATTAAAAAATTCATAAAGACAGACTTTAAACTGAACTTTGCACAATTAAGGGTGAAGTAGTTTCACTTCTGAGTTAGGAGGGAATTAGAGCAAATAAATAAGTCTGTCTCCATCCTGACAACACACACAAGCCCCCTGTGCACAACACAGAAATGTAAATTTAGCAGGTCCAAGGTCAAGGTCTAGCTAACACAGGCTCTCACTGCACCAAAGTAGTTCCATTTGCATGATTTTGATATCAGAGAGGATGCAACTGATACAGCATCAATATCTGAACCAGAGTAATTACCACAGCAATCATTTTGCTCATAATGGTACCTTTATTGAGACATATACAAAGAAGATTGTAGCACTTAGTTTTCACTTAACGTTTCTTTCCATCAAATAAAAAGTAACTGTAATTCATGGCAAAATGCTTGTTCCTAGGTCTGCTTCCAAATTTCTGTCCTTAACAGTCCAAAACAAAAAAAAATAATTATCAGCAATGTGGAGAGGGGAAAACAAAACACACACAGGAGTAGGTTTCTCTTTAAATAGCTTTTAGAAGCATAATAATGTCAGTATTTAAAGACAGCATAGAAGGAATTTATATATTATATTAGACACAGCAATGATGTAATGGCAGAATACCTCTACATGAACAGAGCTACTCACCACTATTTACCCAACCAACCAAATAAACTGCAAATAAAACAACTGAGGGATAAACACCATTCTACTTATTTTATTGATACGTCAGTGGGAACTTACAAATTGTCTCAGATATAGAAACATGTCTTACAGATCTATGTATTTAGAACTCTTCCTCAAATCACCATCTAACTGTCATTCCCCCATGATTCTTACTCCAATTATATGATTTACACTTCCTTGCTTGTCAAGAATTATGCCTACGGTTCAAAATATTTGCAAGGAGATAAAAATACTTTTCTATAAGGTATTACAAAACACTGACCAGTTTTAAATGATATTTTAAAGAAAAATCCAAGTAAACCTTGTGTCACAGACACCCTATTGCCTCCTAGACCATCCTGGAACAAGGGAGGGGAAGGAGGAAGAAAGCAGGGAAGCAAAAACAGTTATTCGCTAATCCAGAAAAAATAAAAAACTATGAAACCTGAATTCTTTCAAGGGGCTCTAGATATGGAAAAACCTTACAGATCAGAGCACAGTGAAGTTTTTAAACGTTATCTTTACCCCCTTTCTGTTCTTCTGGGGGAAAGAAAAAAAAAAAAAAGAGGGGAGAAATGCTCGGTTCCTCACAGAACAGAGATTTTCTTTTTAAAAAAAAAAAACCCTAATAAAAAGCTGTTAGCACTAGGCACATTTCTAGACTAGCACCCTTTTCACATCACACTAATTTCTTCAAAGAAACAATGAATATCTGTATCCTGAGGCAAATTCTTATTATACTCTACAGACTGCTTCACACGTTGAATTTCATTTTGTTGACTCGGTCTTTATGAAGAAGTAATGTAGCATTTGTCTGTCTCTGTCTGCCCCTGTATCCTTTCCCAGGAGATTTTAATTGGACAAGTCTAATACCCTCAAAAGAGCACCCACTTCTTTTAAAAGGAGTCACATAAAAGTCTCTGGCAGCCTGTTGGAGGAAGGTCAACTAGTCCAGCCTGCATTCAGAGGAAAGCTGTCAAAACAAGACTTCTGTTTGATGATTTTCTACTAAATCTTACACAAAACATTTAAGAAACCTTTAAGAAGTTCCTTCTTCAAAATAATTTCCAAGAGGTCTAAGCTGGCCTTATGTCCTCTAGTCCAGAAGATGAACAGGCACTGAGGGCAGGGATGTTTGACTGGCACAAAGCAAGATGGGGAAGGGGTTGGAGAGCAGCAGTTGGGCTGTGCCATGAGGGAAAATAAAACAGGAGCCAAGGGTGACCCCAGTACAGGCAGTGGCAGCCCTCACTGGCAATGGTGCAGTCCTGACAGCAGCTATTGTGTGGATTTTAGTGTCTCAGTGGAATCAGTGCCTTCAGAAATACACAGTTGGTTTATAATTAACCCCAAACTGTCAGTAGATTCGAAGAGGTGCCATTTCACAGCACCATATCTTAATCTAGTCATAAAACATCCACTGTACCTACAACACATTTGATTCTCACAGAATCAAATGACCAGCAGCTCTAAATTGGTTTAACAACATGACAAATCAAACAGAATGAACTTCTTTTCTGATATCGTCCCTGCTTGGACCAGGTTATCTGAAGTGGATGTTGAACCAACTGAGTAAATAGGTCAAGGGGACCAAACAAATTATATCTGGCACAACTGCACTCTTTAGAATTTTTGATTGATTATGTCCAATTTAAAGCACAAATCCTGGATTAACAGCACTGCGACAGGAAGAAGATTACAAGAAGTCAGCTCCAGTATTCCTGGCACTTGCAGACCTGTGCATAAGGTATTTCAGAGAGTTTGGAAAGGAAATAAGGCTACGTTTACATGTGAGAGCAGACCTGCAGTGTCAGATCATGTCACCTCCCGGTTCCCCCTTCAGTTCTCATCTCTGGATTTTCCAGTGTCTATGTGTTACTTTGCTCTCAGTCTTGCCTTTGCAGAAAACTAGCAAGTCTTCTCTGAGAAAAAAGCTGTTTCTAATGCCAAGAACAGCTCAGAAGGGGATTACAGGTGAATCATACTGGGTTTGTTTGCTTCCACTCACTTCTCCAACTCCAGATGATCCTATGCCTTTAAACTGCCACAACTCCTGATAAACAGCCTATATTCTTTCATGTCCTGCTAAGGGTATTAAACACTGTTCTGGAAGTCTGTGATAAACCACTCTATTTCAGAACATCTGAACAACAACAACAAAAAAAGCCCTCAACCCAAGCCAAGCAACAACAACCAAAAATTACTGTGCTACAAGACCGGTGGCTGCCATCTGGCAATCAGAGCAGACCTGGACTCGGGATGGGCACAACCCATCTGCTCTCCTTGGCCCTGGGCCCACTGGGCACAGAGAAGCCCACAGCACTGGTCCAGGAGATCAGGAGCTGCTCCTTGGCCCAGACTCCTTCAGCAGTACACAGGCAGCTAGAAGTGAGGAGGTAGCCAGGAGAACATGCACTGCCTTTCTTTTGAGGAGCCATTGGGAAGGCCTTGCAGTGCCTGGCAGGAATGCAGAAACCCCTGTTTTCCCTCTGGGTTACTGCTGCTCCCCAGTCCTAATAACACATTAATCCATCTGGTTCTAAATATTTTATATCTTCTGATTTAGGTATATCGCGATGACTGAATATAGAATTTCTTTCAAGAAGACCAATTCAGAACAGATGGTTTATGTGCCAGAAATCATCTGAAATTTCAGGCACCTAACAGACTATCCACAAATTATGTTTCTATACCTTGACAACTAAGATAGACTTTAAACACAGCTGGTTCACTCAACTTCACTATGAAGTTTAGACATTCATGGAAATTGTAACATTTCTTTTACAATTATAAGGATTACAGTGTCTTTTAGAAGTATATTTTTGGTAGTAGGAGTGTGGTACAGAACACCACAGTTAACTAAGCAGATTTGTGATGTTCTCTAATTTTATAGTGACAGGAAAAATGTTTGGTTATCAGATGTCCTAAACAACTCAGAAGTGACAAACACTCAAATGTAAAAACAAGACATACCCTGGGACACATAAGGGAAAACCCCCTACATTATAGAAGGACAAAAAAAAAAAAGGCTTTAAGTAATTTTCTGGAGCAAATACTACACACATAAATGTCCATGGCATCACATGATCTCACTAAAATGCAGCACTCTAAATTTGGTCCCATTTCCCACAATATTAGGGTCTTGCTGAAGAGAACAGCAAAAAAACCCTACCCTCTTTTCTGTTCAATAATAGCACCACCAGGTTTATCATACAAATCACAGGGAAATACTCATATTTTCTTATCACCCAATGAATTTTCCTACCACCTTTTAAATAGAAGTCCACTCTTTTTTTTTAATATTTCCAAAACTGCCGCTGTAACGTCCAAATGAAAGCTCTTATTTAAGAAAGGCTTCGTGCACGAATACTTTTTACTGATTTGTATAAATGGCCTGACTATTTCAAAAGTGCTTTCTAACAGATCATTCTGAAGTAATTAGGTTTCCATATGGCAGAGCTGACTTTTGTTGACATAGTATAGTATGACCGCAGTTGCTTTGAAACAGCAGTGGCCGCAATTACTCCTATCAAATATCATGAAAACAATTCCCCAGTCACACTCCTTTTACAATCTTGTCTTGTTGACGTGCACGCATGTGGTTTAATGCAGGATGTGAAAGTGTGAGTGAAACATATGATGCAATCCTGGAAAAATGCTGTCAGGTTCACTTCTGAACCCAAGAGGGACTCTCTTACACTGATGCTCTGAAATCACACGGAAAAATGTATTTTCGCACTGCTTTTCTCAAAACAAGGGTTCACGAACACATTTTGGAAAAAAACCCGTTTATTTATAGAAGACTTAAGACTTGAGCCAGATTTTGAAGATTCCTAGTCGTATTTCCCCCTGTGAATAGATGATTTCACAACTTTTTGAACTGTCACTTATGCTTGAATGAAAAGAAAAAGCAATTTTGTCTGCTGTGAAAAAGGGTTACAGTCAGCTGGGTACTCACAGGAAAAATTTGCCTGTGTCTCCTGATGACCTACATTTACCAAAATGGGGAGGGAATTATGCTATGCAGT